TAATATAGACACAGTAAATCTGACCTTAAAATTGCACATTGTTTTAGACTAAACATATCTCACTCAAAACCAAACTGTGTTGTAAAATGACAAAAGTTCTTCTCCATTACCATCTGCCAAATCCTTGGTTAGCTCCTAAAAATTGAGTTCGGGCTTTAAAATGTCTTGGTAAAGATCCAGGTTAAGGATTTACTCAAAGAACGTCCAGCTCTAGGCACATTTGGAGTCAATAGCTTGAAAAGTATTCAAACTACTTAAATGAGATATTTAAATACTTAGCATTTAGATTCCCACTGGTAGATACCACGCTGCTTGTTTTTGGTTGTCATAAGCAGGACCAATGTTACTAAGATCCTGGAAGAAAAAATACCCAATTAAAAAAGGAGACTACATATGTCAATCTGGCAATGCTCATAAACAGGAGAAATTCTAATGGAATGGGAACTGAAACTGACAATCCTTTTTTTTTTTCTTTTGAGACAAGAGTCTCACTATGTTGCCCTCAGTAGAGTGCCACAGCATCACAACCCACAGCAACCTCAAACTCTTGGGCTGAAGCGATTCTCTTGCCCCAGCCTCCCAAGTAGCTGGGACTACAGGCACATGCCACAATGCCCAGCTATTTTTTGGTTGTTTGGCAGGCCCAGGATGGATTCAAACCCACCACCTCCAGTGTATGTGGCTGGCACCCTAGCTGCTGAGCTATAGGCACTGAGCCTGTATCATTATTCTTAAACATTCCATTTCTATCTCCTTATATATTAAAAAAACTCTTCAGTATAGTTTATTATGAAATAGTATCTTCCTTATAGAAAATTTGTAGATCCAGAAATGTAAAAATTAAATTTTTTTTTTTAAATAAAGCCAACCACTATAAATTTTGGTATTGATTCATAGTTTCTCTTTTCTTCTATGAACTCTTCCTACCGTATTATGGTAGGAATACTGATAATAATTATTGAAATATTATAGTAGGAATACTGATAATAATTACTGAAATGTTAGTGTTAGTTAGACATTAATTTTAGAATATTCTAATTCTTGGTTTGCTGGGAGTTATAGTTAAGGGTCTGATACACTTGCAAATATGTCAAGGTCCTACAGAACACTATAGAAAATGTAGAACATATATAATGTATATTTAACATATTTCCTTTCTTGCATAGTGAGCCAACTATTTTAAACTTACTTGTTATTGCAAATTCCTCAAGGATATAATTTTGCCAAACTCTCTGAAATGGTTTGAGCTATATTTAAATATATTTATGTCAACGTTTACCTCATTATTTTTTTTTGTTATAGGTAATCTACTGTCTTCCAGTGTCTCTGCATTAGACAGCATTACCACAGTAGCACTTGGATCTCTTAGATCTATTCCAGAAAATGGGTCTACTCATGTTTCTCAGATTCTGAAGATGATATTAAAAGAACAATCATTAGCAGCAGAAAGTAAAACTGTGCAACAAGAATTGATTGTTAGTATATCTCTTAAAATATTTTTGGAGAATTACATTTGATAAGTCTTGGAAAAACAATGTTGACTGTTCTGTTATCTTAAGCTTTGCTAGACACTAATAGACATATCACTATGAGACATCACTTGTTAATATTTTTAAAGAAAAATTCCTCTACTGTTTTTTTCTTCCTGGATTGATCTCCAAATGTATATAACTATTTTTGAAACTTTTTTCACTCATATCTTGTAACATTAGAAGTGGGCATTACTGGTGAGCTTTCTAATGAATAAAAGGCAGGCTTAGTACCACATGATTTTGGGAGACCCATGACTTGTTTGTTAATTGGCCCAGAGATTGATAAGTCATCCTTTTCCCAAGGGTCTTGAACCCAACCAAAAGGGGATATTGGATACTTAATTTTAAAGCTACAGTAATATGTGATAGTAATATGTAATAGTGATCCAAGAAAAATAACTTTTAGGATTCTAGGTATAATTCTTAGGGTTAGATCTGTGCGGCCAGGCCATTCTGGGGCTTACTGTAAAGCTTTTCCCCCACAGTTCTGTGGAAGTCACTCATCTAATCATACTTAATATTCTATAATGGCATGTTTTGTCTAAGAAGTTCTTGTCTGTATCACCTGTTTCTATGTGCATAGGCTCTCTGCCTCCTTTTTTGAGTTTAATAATACTTATTAAACATTTTCCAAGTAAGTACCACAACTGTTAGCTGACCCTTTGACTTAATTCAGTGCTTATATGACACTATTTGAGAGTATTTTTAAGCAACCAAATTTGACAAAGTTAAAAGATACTCTGTTAATACCAACTTCACTAAATGGAGGTCTATATATACAGGCATACCTTGGACATGTTGCATGTTTGGTTTCAGAGAACTGCACTAAGTGAAAATTGCAATAAAGTGGACCACAAATTTTTTGACTTCCCACTGCATGTAAAAGTTTATATTATACTGCAGTCTATTTAAGTGTGCAATATCATAATGTCTTAAAAAGCATTGTACATGCCTAAATTAAAAATACTTCATTACTTTATTACTAGAAAATGCTGATGCTCATCTAAGTCATTGATAAGTCATAATGTTTTTTGCTGCTGGAGGGTCTTGCCTCAATGTTGATGGCTGCTAATTGAACAGGGTGGCTGTGACAATTTCTTAAAAGGAGACTATAATGAAGTTTGCTGCCTTGATTGCTGTTTCTTTTTATGAAAGTAGCATATGTTGCTCTGTGATAGTATTTTACCCAGAGTTTGGAATATTGAAATGTTATCAATTAACTGTCATTTTTCATTCTTCTGAATTTTTCATTAGACAGTTAAGAAGTTATTGTACGTTAAGTGACAATTTCCTTTTCTTTTTTTGAGACAAAGTCTCACTGTCTCCCTTGGTAGAGTGCTGTGGACTCGTAGCTCACAGCAACCTCAAACTCTTGGGCTCAAGCGATCCTCTTGCCTCAGCCTCCCAAGCACCTGGGTGGGACTACAGGTGCTGGCCACATCACCTGCCTAGCTTTTAGAGATGGGGTCTTGTTCTTGTTCAGACTGGTCTCCAACTCCCAAGCTCAGGCAATCCACCTGCCTTGGCTGTCCAGAGTACTAGGAAGACCGGTGTGAGCCAGCACTCCCGACCTAAGGGGCAGTTTTCTTTTCTCTCAACAGAATCTCATTCTTGCTCTAGGCTAGAGTGCCATGGATCAGCCTAGCTCA